CCATATTTAGAGTGCCTGTCTCAATGCCTGGCACACAGTAGGTGCTTAAAGAAAGTTCCTCCTCGTCTCTTTGGAACTCTCACACACTGCAATTAGTCCAGACAAACTGTCCACGGCCCCCGCAGCGGTCAGACAGAGCTGACCAGGGCTGGATTGGGGAGCAGACGGTGGCCGCCTGCCCCAGCCTGAAAGAGGGGGCGGTGGTAGCGTCCGCCAGGGCCTCCGCGTGCAGCCACCCCCCTGTCGGCTCCACACTAACGACTTCAGTGTGTCTCCTCTTTTAGCTCAAATATTTCTGAAATGCACACTGCTCGTTCACACATAGCCAGAGGGGCCTACGGGCCTCCCCAGCCTGTGCAATCAGGGCCTCCTGATTGCTTTCTTCTGTGCAGTCTCCAGGAAGGAGAGGGGGTGCGGGCGCAGCGGGGCTAGGGCCAAAGCCACTGCCGTGGCGCGAACCCGGTTTTCCCACCGAGGCGGGCTGTCCGAGTTGGCGGCTGGAGGCCCTGGTTCCAGCTTTCTCCGGGGTGCTGAGAATCTGTCCACACAGCCTCAGTCTCCTCATCCAGCCATTGGGATTTTAAAAGATGGTCACGGAGCATATTCAGGGCTTGCAAACCAGACATTTCCAGAGGACTCGCTGGGGTGGGAGTGAACAGGGGCGAGGAAAAAGGCAGTGTGGGGCAGGGCAGGGGTGGAGGGCACCAGAGGAGCAGGCAGGGATGTGGGCAGGTGGACGTGGTCCAGCCAGGGGGCCTCAGAGAGCTGCCGACCCTTGCCAACACTTACTCATTCCCACGGACCGTGCTGTCACTCACCTCCTCGCCTTGGCCTCCACTGTTCCCTCTGCCTCACATGCCCTTCCCATTCAGCCTCTCCTGACTCCCTCCTAACTCATTCTTCAAGCCTCCATTCAAGTGTCACTTCCTCCAGGAAAGCCATCCCTAAGCTGAGCATTTTCTTCCTCTCCTTCCACACCCACAGTACCCCTTGCACGTCCCTGTCACAGCCTTTGTCACATCGTACGGTGATTAATTATCTGTGTACAGCGAAAACAGCTTCCCCTGCATGAGGGATTGTCATTGTCACAGTGGGGATGGGATGGGGACATTTCTAGCACTTCAGAAGCAACTCGGCACAGTCTCGCAGTCCCCAAAGTGTGGGAAGTGAAATGATGTTAGGTAGTTTGCAGAGGAACATTTTTTAATTGTAATAGCTGTGTTTATTTTCCTTCTTTTTATGGCAAGTGATGTTGGTTTCCCATTTATAATAATGATAACTTTTTCCTCTTTAAAATGCACTTAAAAGAAGAGTCAGCTGGAAGAAAAATAGTAGCTAAATATAGCGCAGGTTGTAGGTGGCAATGGCTGAAGTCATGAATGTTGTTCTGGTGGAACAGAACATTAGCCTGAGGGTGGGGGGTGATTTCGGCCTCTAACTGCAGACCTACTATGTGCCAAGCCCCGTGCTGGATCTTGGGGGCAGGCAGAGGAGGTGTGGAGGGGGAGATGATCAGAAGGAACAGTATGTGTGGGGTACAGGGCTGAGAGAGAGCCCCACACAGTCCATACAGCTGGACCACAGCTTGTAAATGCAAGATGTGTGAACTTGGGCAAGTTCCCCAGCCTTTGTAAGCCTCAATTTTCCCATCTATGAAATGGGATCGTATCAACTATGTCTTGGCATTGTTGGAAGAATGTTGGTGAGGGTCTCCAGCTCCTAATAGAAAGGTCTCCATCTCAGTGACCATGAGTTCTCTCCCTTTTGCAGATTTTTGGGGCTGGAGGGGAGATGTCTGGGGTGATATGGGGAGAAGGAAGGAAATGCTGGTGGTGGAAGGAAGCCTGGCTTCCTGAACCCACCCAGGTTCCTGGGGCAAGAATGACTAGCCCCAGACTCCCTGGGGAACCGAATGTGACTTTCATGTTCGTTTTGAGAGGAACAAAGAGGAAACACAGGACATCCCAGGAAAGCAGCATCAGACGGACCAGGAAGGCTCCTCGGAGGCTGAGGCGCTGGGGCTAGAGGCTGATGTTTGTCAGATGTTGGCAAGCACCGTCTGGAGTGTGGGGAGAGCCTCTTGGACTCGCCTTCACTCTCAGGGGCCACCGCATGAGCCCAGAGGAAATGGCATGTGTGCAGGCACTGGGTCAGACAAAAAGCACCACGCTCCATCTAAAAAAAGAATATCGGCCACTCACCGAGGCTCTGCTTTGCTCTGGGCTCCAAGTTAACACACTTCCCTGTCCTTCCGTCCTCCTGGCCCCACTCAGAAGGCACTATGACGATTTTCTAGGTGAAGAAACCGAGGCTTAGGAAGGTTACAGGTCCAAGGTTACAAGGCGAGTAGGTGGCAGAGTGGGTGTTAGAATCGAAGTCCCTCTGACCTCCCGACCCCTACTTTATCTGCTCTGCCTACCTGCCTTATGTGCAGTGGGTGGAGGGAGGTGTCAATGTTGAAAAGCAAAAGGCCGAGGGGAAGTGGGGGCGGGGAGAGCACCCATGGGTGTCCTCCGGCCACAGCCCCGAGGGGTAACAGCTTTCCCAGAGGCAGGCTTCCAGGCAAAGCCAGGACTGGTACGGGGAGAAGGGAGCCCCTTGCATCCCGTCCCCGCGCCCCAGGGTATTCTGCAAACTTCACACTCCCTCTTAGCCCCTTCCTATCTGTGAACTAACTAGCCCCTTGACTTCCAGCCTCCTGAGATCCGCCCCTTGCTGGTTCCAGGTGTGGTGGGAGGCAGAGGGGGGCCGTGGAGCACCCCCCAGCCTGAGCTCCCTGGGAGCCTGGGGTTTGAGCACCAGCCTTTAGTCCGTGACTTTTGGCAAGTCATTTGCCCTCTCTGGGCCTGAGCTTCCACCCATACAATGAGGATGTAGCTCACAGCCCCTCCTCTGGGCCGTGGAATCCTCTAGTGCTTGGCCTCTGGGTCAGCCCAAGAATCCAGCCAAGGGGTGGGGCCACCTGCTTGGCACACTTGCCTCCCCCACCCGAGCCCTTTCTAGTCCCAAGCAGAGTCTCCTCTCCCTTGTTCCACACGGCTCCCAGCAGCTGTTCCTCGGGCCCAGGCAGAGAGCCCGGCTTGGCGCGTCTCTGGCTGAGGCCGATGAGAGAAAACAGGTTAAAAGTTCAGCCCTTGTTCTCTCCAGGAAGAAAAATCTGTAGCATTCGGAGTGTGAAAAGGAACCCTTTTTTCAGCTCCAAAGCAGCACAATAGAACTTCCCTCCAATTTGCCATCAAAAAGACGCCCTTGGCACTGGACTCCAGCGTCCCCGGCACCCCTCCTCCCCCCTCACTAGCCCCCCGTGCAAAGGGACACAGTGACCGCAGACATAATCACAGGCGGTCATGGGGACACTGCTGCTTCCTCTGTTGTCAGCTCATGGGTCTGACTGGGGTCACCTCTGGCTGAATGCTTCCTCCCATCCACGCCGCTCCTGCCCTAGTTCAAGATCTTGTTGCCCCCATTCCGACCCTCACGGCGGCCTGGGCACTGTGTACCCTGCCCTCACTATCCTCAGCCGAGTTCATCCAGCCCAGGCTATCCAACTAAGTATCTAGAAGTTTATAGGGTCGGAAGCAGGAGATCTGCACCCCCCACGCTGCCACCAACTCCTACGGGATCTTTAGGAAGTCTCTTCCCCTGCCTGTGCCTCAGCTGCCCTATCTCCGAAATGAAGCAGTAGGGCTGGGCCCGGATAGCATCTCAAACGGTGGGTATTAGTGTCCTGGCACACAGAGACCAGGAGCATCGTGCAGCCAGAGAGTGTGGGCATTGATTCGTGAGGTCTGCGGGGGCCCAGAAGCAGAGCATAGCAGCAAGCATACCTCACCCATGCCCACCAAGCTAGCTGGTATGGAAGGTCCAGCTGTGACCTTCTAGGTCTCTCTGCCCACTCTCTCATGGCTATTTGTATTCACGCCTTATCACCACTACTAGACTGTGAACAACTCCATAGTAGGGTCTTACTCTTCACCGTTTTCTCTCTCGGGGTCCCCAGTGCCTGGCACATAAGGAGCATCAGGATATATGTGTTGAATGAATGCTCGAACAGGGTCAATTTAAATCTGCTCAATGGAGTTCAGCTCAAGAAGTGTTTTGAATTCCCTGTGGGGTAGTGGGAAGGGGTCCTGGGCCTTATCTGGGGAAGAATGGGGCTCTCTCTGGCCTTGGCGGTCTTCATCAACAGGCTGTGTGGCTCCTTCCTTCCAGCTGCCGGAGTCGGGGGAGGGGCAGGTGGGGCCCTGGCTGGTTCAGAAGCTCATTTGAATTTCTTTAACCCCCAGAGGGCAGGTGGCAGACTGGAGCTACTTGGCACAGTGCTCACACTCAACACCCACCCACCCCCCACCCCCCACTCCTAGGGCCCCATCCTAGGAGCACAGTTGACTGAGCCCTCGGGGAGGGAGCCCCAGTGTGGGGACACTATGGAGGACTCCAGGTGCCTGGAGAAGGGGGGAGGGTGTAGGCCAGAGAGCCAAGGTGGGGTAACTGATGGGGCTCAGCTGGGACCAAAGAGAGGCCTTTCTAAGGGCCACATTCCAGTTTTTGAGAATTTGATGCAAGCCGAAAAGCAAACAGACACCCTAAGTTTGATGTAAAATTTCCAGGTTTGCCTGGTGGACTCTCTGAAGCCCACCCAGGAGAGTCCAGGTTAAGACCCTTCTCCACCAACAAGGGAGGGAAATGGCAGTAGCCAGGTTGGTGTGACGTGGTGGGCTGAGAGGAGGCATGACCATGGGCAGAAGGGCTGAAGCTGGGCTTTAAGGGGTGGAGCCTGGAGGGGTAGAATCAGACGATTGGCTGGAACGTGGGAGTGGGTGGGATCATGGAGTGAGAGACCTAGAGGGGGGGTCGTCTGCAGGAGTACAGCCAGATGATTGATTGGTGCAATGGAAGTAGGTGACGCTCTGTAAAGGAGGCCCTTGAGGGATGGGGGTCTTGGGGTGATTGACAGCACTCAGTAGGTGGGCGGCGGTGACTCTTTGCTTTCCTCACAGAAACGCTGATGGACTCAACCACAGCGACAGCGGAGCTGGGCTGGATCGTGCATCCTCCATCAGGGGTGAGTTGGTGGTCCCCAAACCCTGCCTGGTCCCTCAGAAGACCTCGGGTTCTGCTGCAGGGCCTGGATGCCCCTAACTTCCAGCCCCTTTCCCTCCTTCAGGGCCCGAGGCTGGCCTCTCATTGCCCCACCCTCCTGGTCCCCTACTATTGATGGAGCCCCGGTTACCATGACAACACGCTGGTTGCCTTCAGTCTTTATCCCGTGGCATCCTCAGGGCGGGGCTGAGAAGTAGGAACTCACGCTGCCCCCATTCTACAGATGAGGAAAGTGAATTCTCATTTTCTGACCACCCACTGTATTACATACTGAATCAAGGAAGCACCTTTATACACATCATCTCCAATCATATGGGGAGGAAACACCTCCATTTTACAGGTAAGGAAACTGAGGCTCAGAGAGTTGTAGCCACCTGCCAGGGGCGTTACCCCTAGTTAGTGATGGGGCTCAGGTTTGTATCCAGGGCTGTGACTGAGTCCTCCGGGCCCCCTTTCTGGGTCCCCATAACACAAGACTCCCCCTCCCTGAGCTTTTATCCTCACACTTCCATGAGGGCCCTACTTCCCTGGGGCCAGTGGTGTGAGCCCAGGTAGGCTGTGAATCCCTCAGGAGCAAGAACAGACAGAATTGAGATTCCTCTCTCTTCTAGCACCAACTTACATACAGGCTGTGGGGCCTGACATGCCTGAAATTCTGTCCCAATTCTGCCACTCACCAGCTGCATGATTTGGCGCCAGTTCTTTAACCTGTCTGAGCTTCAGTTTCCGCATCTATGAAATGATGGTGGTCGTGTCCTCTGCCCCGGGCTGGTGTGAGGTTTTCCTGCACAGTGTCTAGCATAGTGCCTGGCAGAGGGTGCCCCCTCCCCCCCCCGCCCCCCATGATGAGTAGCTGTAGTCGGACCACCATCATCATTGTCACGGTCATGAGTTTTTATATCATTACGCTCTCAGGGTATCATTTTTATATCATTACGTCCCCTGGGCTCCGGAGAGGGCTCTGGGCTCCCCCAGCCCCTCCTTTCCCTCCCCCCCCATCCCAGCTCCTCCCACTGGGACTCTGCTGCCGCCCCAAGGAGCTGCATCCCCCACCCCAGGCCTGTGCTCTCAATAGGCAGGGCCCTAGGGTCAGACCTCTTTCTGTGGCTCTTTCTTGTCACCAGTTTTCCATCTGCGAAGGCGGCTGGGCCCGCAGCCCCACCCTAACAGGAATGAGGCCAGGCTCGGCTGCAGGGCCCCCGGACGCAATTATTTGGGGTGTTTAGGCTGCAGGGCCTCCGCATGTTAATTAGAGAGAGGGGAGAAAGGCAGAGTGCTCTAATTAAGTGCTCTAATTAAGTTCTGAAGAAGAGCAGTGGTTGTAACAAGGGGCTGACTTTGTCACATGATGCCACCAAAAAAAAAAAAAAAAATGCAATGTAGGGAGCTTCAGAGCCACCGCTGACGTCGAGGCTGGGCCAGCAGGCTCCAGTTCGGCCTTCCCCACGGGCACTGGCCCTGCACAACATCAACCCTCCCCAGGCCGGCAGCCACTACACCGCCCCCCACAGACTTGGCCCAGATATCTGAGGAAGGCAGAAGAATAAAGAACACCCACTTGAGGGTGACACCCCTACTACCACCTGCCTCACCACCCCCCACCCACAGTCCCATTTGGCAGTTGGGGAAATAGAGGCCCAGCGAGGGGAAGTGACTTGCCCAAGGCCATGCATCAAGTTAACAGAGCTGGAACAAAACCCAGGACTCCTGGGGTACCTGTGGGTCATTGTGTTTCAAGGCAGCGTGCCCAAGCGTGGGAACGGGTCTAGGTCTGTGTGACCTGGGTCAAGGGGCCTCACTTCCCTGGTCTCTACTCACTCATCTGTAAAATGGTGATGATAATATAGCATGTGCAATAATCATGACAAAGAAATGAGGTCCTGTTCCAGCACCCACCCCAGGCCTGCATGGGTGGGTGGGGGTGCTCTGCTGTTTTGGCTCTTTTGGCTCTAGCCCAGGGAAAGCCAGCCCAGTGCCAAAGGGGACACAGGAGGGATATGGAGCTACTCTCAGCAAGCTTTCAGCCCCACTGGGGAGACCAGGCCGAGAGGCCCAAGGGTGCCTGGCCCTCGCCCAGGCTGGTGTCCCCAGAGGCCCACGGGAGAGTCGGCGAATGCAAACTGTGCAGCCAGAGAGAGCCTGCTGCAAGAGGCTCCAGAAGGATGGACAGAGAAGACAAGAGGGTACTCGAGGAAGGCACAGAATTGTGAACAAAGGCTCAGCATGTGAGTGAGCTTGGCTTGTGAGGGTCTGTGAGGAGACACCATGGGGCCGGTGCCCTTCATCCCCAGCCTCCCATGGCCCTGCCCCGAGCCCCCAGCAGTGGGGCTCGGGAACTCTCAGCTGCATGTGCGAGAGCCAGTCTGGGGCCCAGAGAGGGTGCCAAGGCACCTGCCATAGGCAGGAAGGGCAGAAAGTCTCTCTCCAGGTCCCTTAACCCCTTTAGTGGTATCTTAACCACGGAAGGCCCCAGAACAGACTGCTTATCTTCCGCATCGTGGGGATAAAGGCTCTTCTCCTGTCAGACTGGGAAATCCCCTGGGGCAAGGACTGTGTCTCCCTGGTCAGAATAGGAGCTCCCAGTAGGCAGACGTTCTGACTCCCCCATCAGACTAGTACTCCCCAAGCACAAAGCTATGTCTTCTCCCAGCAGAGGGAATTCCCTCAGGGTGGGCCTCTCGCTATTTTCCCTTCTAGGTGGGAGCTTCCCAGGAGCTGGGGCCACATCTCCTTTTTCACCCCAGGGGTGAGGGTCACATCTCCCATATTAATCAGGGGAAAACCAAGAACAGGGTGTGTGCCCTTCCCATCAGATTGGCATGTCTCCCTCACAGACTGGGGAATTCCTCGGGGCCACGGCCATGTCTCTCCTCAGCTTGGGAGTTCTCTGATGATATGAATCATGTCTCCATCATCAGACTAGAAGATGCCTAAGGTAGAGTGTATGCCTCCTCCTTTAGACTAGGAGGCCCCCAGTGGCAAGAGTCCTATTTACCCCCATCCAACTGAAGGGTTCCCTAAGACAGGGTCTGTGTCTCCCCTCTAGCCAGACGACCCGTGGGGCTGAGCCCCATCTCCCCCACCTGACTAGCGTTTCACCCACAGTGGGAAGAGGTGAGTGGCTACGATGAGAACATGAACACGATCCGCACGTACCAGGTGTGCAATGTGTTTGAGTCGAGCCAGAACAACTGGCTACGGACCAAGTTCATCCGGCGCCGCGGCGCCCACCGCATCCACGTGGAGATGAAGTTCTCGGTGCGTGACTGCAGCAGCATCCCCAGCGTGCCCGGCTCCTGCAAGGAGACCTTCAACCTCTATTACTATGAGGCCGACTTTGACTCGGCCACCAAGACCTTCCCCAACTGGATGGAGAATCCATGGGTGAAGGTGGACACCATCGCGGCCGACGAGAGCTTCTCGCAGGTGGACCTGGGTGGCCGGGTCATGAAGATCAACACAGAGGTGCGGAGCTTTGGGCCTGTGTCCCGCAGCGGCTTCTACCTGGCCTTCCAGGACTATGGTGGCTGTATGTCCCTCATCGCTGTGCGCGTCTTCTACCGCAAGTGCCCCCGCATCATCCAGAATGGCGCCATCTTCCAGGAGACCCTCTCGGGGGCCGAGAGCACCTCGCTCGTGGCCGCCCGGGGCAGCTGTATCGCCAACGCCGAGGAGGTGGACGTGCCCATCAAGCTCTACTGTAACGGGGACGGCGAGTGGTTGGTGCCCATTGGCCGCTGCATGTGCAAAGCGGGCTTCGAGGCGGTGGAGAATGGCACGGTCTGCAGAGGTAAGGGCCGCGGCGGGGCAGGTGCCCCTGTGCGGGCGTGGAGCTGCACTCGGCTGCAGACGTGGGTGGAGGGGGGCGGGGGGTAGTGGCTCAGGCTGGCAAGTGCAGTGGCCTGGAGCCGACCACGAGGCACTCTCTGGCCGGGCTTCCCAAATCTGCAGCCAGTGTTCCGTGTCTCAGAGGGCAACGTTTGAAGAGCACTTCTAGAACGGTGGTACACGTATGTCCAACGGGGAGCGGGCAAGGTGATTTTCGCGGGCACAGGGATAAACGTTTCTCATCTTAATTAGTATGTGAATATTAACAACAGCAAGTGGTGCCGTATGTCTTCATTTACAAAAGTGATGTCGTTTCATCAAGAAATGAGGCCTAGTAAATAACTGGGATAAGTTAATGTTTATTGGACTTTTGCTGCATCCGTCAATACAGGCCAGGCTTGACGGAAGTGACCAAACAATAAAGGTTTATTTCTCACTCGATGCTCCCTGCCCATCGGGGGCCGTCTGGGGATCCCCCACTCAGGGAGCCAGGCGGATGGAGGTGCCACCATTTGGAATGCGGTGATCATGAGAGCAGAGAGAAGTGTGAGGTGGATGGCGTGCTGGCTCCCGAGCTCTGCCTGCCATGCGCACGCGCCACTCCCCTGCACACTTCAGCGGCCCAGGCGAGTCACACGCTTCCTTCTGATGCAAGGGGCAGGGGGATGCGCAGGCCCGCTGGAAGCCAGGCCTCCTAACTGCCACTCGTACTGTGTGCTGAGCACTTTGTATGTCTAACTTACTACTCCGCACAAGAACCCTGGGAGGGATGGTGCCATTTTACAGGAAGAAGTTGAGGTTCAGAGAGTTAAGTGTGGGAGCCAGGAGTCTTATCCAGGTAGTGTGATTCCAAGTCCACCCCTTAGCCACCTCACCATATGGGGTGATTTAAGGAGAAATCCTAAGTAAGCAATAGTGCAGGGGCTGTTTGATTGTGGCAAACAATTGTGAAGGTGGGTGGCAAACATAAGAAGTTAGTAAGAGGGACTGCATGGTGGTAAGAAGGCTGTGAAGGTAGACAGACCTGGGTTCAAATCCCAGCCCTGCCTGTTATTAGCTATCTGTCTTGGGCTGCACATGAAACCCTCTTTCTTAGGGTATTTGTGAAGACTCAAGAATTCAAGGCTGTAAAGCACTTATAATGGCTTGTAGTATGCAGTAGGAGTTTACTAAATGTTAACGAAATGAGATGTGACGTATACGAAGCCCCGCCTGGTGCAAGTACTCCACGGTGCGAGCTGGATGGTGATCTAAAGCCTACTTGTACCACCTCCTCTTGCCTTTCCTGTTGGGATCAGATCCTGGGGGTCCTCCAAATGCCAGGCTAAGAGTTTGGACCCAATTCTAGGGTTCCTGAAGTGCCGGTCACTGTGTGGCCTGAGGTGACCGCATGATCCTACCCTTTATAAAATGCTGTCGCATCCACCGTCCCCATGGCTCCCCCCTCTATGCTCTGAAGCAGCATTTTAGAGGTCCCCAGGAGGATAACCGTGGTGCCCAAGAGAGGAGGAGTGGCCCGTGGGGCAGTTGTAGCCGTGCTCCCGAGAGACGGTGGCTGTCTGGCCGGGCCATCTACGGTGCTAGGATCGAGGGATGTGAAGAATGGCGTGAGTACTTGGGCTAGAAAGGAGGAAGGAGGGAATTCCAGCTTGTGGGGAGGTGACGGTCCTGGAAAAGAGTCAGGGGCGTGGGAAAAAAAGGCTGGTTTCTGGGGGAGGATAACAGAGCTGGTTTTCTGTACTTAAGTGTAAAAAGAGCACAGCCTTGGGAGGTGGCAGGCCATGGGGTGCAGAATCAGTCACTCGTTGCTCATTATTTATTCACTCATCAAACCTCACCCGTGCCTGCTCTGTCAGACCTTGTGCGGAACATCAGGTAGGACAGAAGAACGTGACTCTGGCGCAGCCTTCTAGGAGCCACCATCTAGCGGTGGGGACAGGCTGTAAGTGAACAAAGGAGGGAATGCCTTTGACTGGCTTTGACTGGAACCACCTGGGCTGGGCAGATTGGTGGAGCGAGGTAGGGAGGTGACACAGAGGAGGTGAGGGCCGCGGCGGGGCAGGTGCCCCTGTGCGGGGCTGAGTCCTGGGAGAGGGATATGTTGACTAGGTGGCCCCGGCCTTCCAGAGGAGGGTTCTACAAGGATCTGGGGATGTGAAGCAGCACATCCCACTGGGGAGACTGGTACAGTGTCTGGCACGGCCGTGGCTAAGGGCTCGGGGAGCAATGGAGGAAGAGCTGTCCCTGGATGGGGCCCAGATGAAGAGGTACATTAGTTACCCATTGTTGCCCAACAAGTCACCCCAAAATGTTGCAGGTGAAAACAAGCATTTGTAATCTCAGTGTCTGAGGGTCAGGGATCCAGGTATGGCTCAGGGCAGGTGCCTCTGGTGCAAGGTCTCTCCTGGGGCCGTGGTGTCATCTGACGGTAGTGCTGGGGCGGGGTCTGCTTCCACATTCACGTACACTGTTGTTTGCAGGCTTTAGTCCCTCGCCACAGGGACTCACATGGGCAGTGGCTTCCCCCAGAGCGACTGACCCGAGAGAGAGTTCGAGAGAGCACCCACGACAGAAACCATAATCTTTTTATGACCTCATCTCAAAAGTAACATCTCATCGCTTCGGCCATATTCTCTTTGTTAAAAGCCAGTCACGCAGTTCAGGCCCCACTCCAGGAGAGGGAATTACATTACATGGGGTGTGAGTGCCAGGAGCTGGGGTCACCAGGGCCATCAGAGAGAGTGCCTGGCACAGGCGGGTTCTCCAAGGCTGAGCTTCTCCTTAGGAGTAGGCCCTGGTCCCCTCTGACCTACCTCCCCGGACCGCCGGCCTGCCTGCCCCCGGCCCAGGCCCAGGCCCAGCCAGCCATTGGGTGTGAGTGGAGGCCAGTCAGGTTGTGATTAATGAGCTCAGGAAGCCAGAAGGACACCAGCTGATGCTGTGGCCTATGTTGCAGCCACCCAGGTGTGGGGCTGCTCCAGCCCAGGTCCCACAGGCACCAGTTCTGCTGGCCTGGGGCATGGAGGAATGGTGGTTGACAGAGTCCCTTCTCTGTCTCCAGCTCAGGGATTCTTAACCTTGACTCTGCCTCAGCATCCACCGGGAAGCTCATTAAAATGCAGATTCCTGGGTCTGGTGCAGACACTCCCCCAGGTCTGGTTCTGTGGTTCTGAGATGGGGCCAAGAATCAACATTTTTAAACAAGCAGCCCTCATGCTTCTGTAACAGGACAATTAGCTTATACACGTGACGTGGTAACATACCGTCAGTCAGACAAATAGGACTCAGGGCCAGATGGATGACCACGGGCCCAGCCTCCCCCGCCCACCACCCCAGGGAGCATCCACCCTAAGGGATGGAAGGGTTGTTAGCAGAATCTCTGGGAGAGTGTGGTTTGGAAAGATCGATTTAATACTGGAACGTAATGGGCGCCTGGGTGGCTCAGTCATTTAAGCGTCTGCTTTCGGCTCAGGTCACGATCCCAGAGTCCTGGGATTGAGCCCTACGTCAGGTTTCAGGCTCAGTGGGGAGTCTGCTTCTCCCTCTCCCTCTGCCCTTCCTGCCCACTCGTGCTCTCACTCTGTCAAATAAATAAATAAAATCTTTAAAAAAATATTGATACATAATTTGATAGGAAAAAATCCATTGCTTCGTTAACACAAATTTGAGAAGATAAGGCTGGATAAAGTCTACCTGACAGATGGCGAGTAGGTGAGTCCTCATGGGAGTGGCACAGCCATCCCAGGGGTGGGCAGGGCGGCTAATGAAGGGCTGGGAGTTCCCAGCGCCTTGAGCGTTTCCCAAAACTGTAGCCTACACCGATGAAATCTGACCAACTTCCTCCAGTGCCAACAGTGGGCAAGGCGTAGTGGGGAAGGGAGGGCCCTGGAGATGCCAGTCAACCTCTCAACAAGCATGTATTACATACCCTCCGTGTGCCATTTGGCCCTCCAGCCAATACAGACGGTCCCCAATTTACGATGGTTCGGCTTACAGCGGTCCGACTTCTCATTTTTCAACGTTCCAACAGTGCCATGGTGATGCATATTCAGCAGAAACCGTACTTCAGAGTTTGAATTCTGATCTTTTCCCAGGCTGGTGACAGCTGGTCAGATACTCTCTCCTTATGCTGGGCAGTCAGCCACGTGAGCGGGGGGGTAAACAAGTGACACGTGCATCCCTTCTGCACCCACGTGACTGGTCTTTTATCCACGTTCAGTACTGTATTCAATAAATTGCATGAGTTGTAACAGGCTTTGTGTTAGATGATGTTGCTCAACTGAGCACGCTTCAGGTGTGCTAGGCTAAGAACTGATGTTTGGGAGGTTAGGGGTATTAAGTGACTCTTCCACTCAATATTTTCAACTTATGGTGGGTTTATCAGGACGTAACCCCATGGTAAGTCGAGGCAGATCTGTATGTATTGAGTACCATCTATGAGCCAGGCACATACCAACGTTCGCTGCCCTCCCAGAATTTTTAATCTGAGTCGGTGGACAGAAGAAGATGGAGGGAAAAAATTAATGAGCAGATAAATAAAATAGTTAAAGCTGTGATGAATGAAAAGGGGGAAAAGATGCAGCAATAGAGGTCAAAGGAAGACTCGCTTTAGCCAGGTGGACCAGGGAAGGCTTCTTGGAAGAAGTGTCGTTTGAGCTGACAGTGGCCACCCTGGGAAGGCTGGAGGAGTTTGGCTCATTGGCTCCTGGGTGAGCAGGGGACTTGGACACATGGAAAAGGCGGCAGAGTGTGGTCCTTCCAGAAATGAATTATATCCAGTCAAAGCATTTTGAGAATATGAGAAAGAAGGCATCTTTTCTGACTGGAGGTCTAGGAAGGCCTCAAGTAGGAGGTGGCATTTGAATTAGACCCTGAAGAGTGAGTAGGATTTGGATGGTGAAGGGAGGGAGGTCATTGTAGGTCAAAGAACCAACTGCATGAATAATGGCCCCGAGGTATGAG